TTGTTTCGGGTTCATAAAAATCGTCCGGGAGACGAAACAAATCTCCCCATAAAAATGCACGAAAGCAGTCGAGCGATCGTTTGCCCAAAGGGGCACATGGTCTCGTCGCTCTCCATAATAAATTTGGGGCCTTCGAGGAAATGGACATTACACTGTGCCATTCTTCCTCGCGAGTCCAGAGTACGTCACCCAATAAATATAAAGGGAGGATATCCCCTATTACCCTTAACGATTAAAAATGAATCATCCTACATTGATCTTATGAAGCTGCCGAGGTTTTAGAGTCAACTTTAACGAATTATCTTTACTTATTTCCGCCGAAATGTTACCGACTCGGTGTTAACCATTTTTTTTCATCCTGAGTCGGGAGATGGCGAACAGACATTATTTTAAACTTGGCCCTACCTACTCTAAATTTTGTTAGTATGAACATGATAAAACAAACCTGTCTTGGTTTAACTTACTAGATCAATAAACAATCTTTGCTTATTCAGGACCATTGCCCGGTAGCTATAAGTTTACAACAAACACGTTTGAAAGAAACAGATTCGATTAGAAATTAAAACTTAAGTATGTAAAACCATTATGCGTAGACTGATCGAGCATCTGGTGGTACATCTATAGCTGTCAGTAATAGATACATTCATAGCCAACTTGTTTTAAAAACCAGTCTCCAGGAGTACCTCTGCGCCTTTCTCGAGATAAAACAATTTTTCGTATATGTACCTCCGACCTATCAATTACAACCTTCAGACCTCACAGAATTAATAGAACAACTCCCTGCTCCATTTCTGATTGTGGGTGACTTTTAATGTCCATACTCCGCTATGGGGTAGCGACAAAATCACTGTTAAAGAGAAAAAAAATGAAGATGTAATATTGCATCATAATCTTTGTATACTTAATGATGGCTCAAACACCTATACTTGCATCCGGTTAATGGTTCATATTCTTCAATAGATATCAGTGTACATTTATTAGATCCTTCGTTACTTCTAAATTTAAGTTGGTCAGTGCATGATGATTTATGCGGGAATAATCATTTCCCAATCATTCTTAAAATACATAAACCCCCGGAAATAACAATGTTCAAAACTGGAAATTAAACAAGGCTGACTGGACTAAATTCGAAAACTTATGCTTACCAAATATTTCGGTTGAAAAGTTTGAAAACCGCTCTGTTTCTGTTTAAAAATTTACTGGAATACTATTAAATATACCGCAAATGAATGCATACCTAAAACCTCGACAAATTCTACTAGAACTAAAAAGCCATGGTTTACAGAAGAATGCAATGAAGCGATAAAGGCTCGGAAAAATTAAAGCAGCAAGATTTTTAACAGATTATCTGCATCAACAAATTTAAGCAACTTTCGTGTATTTAGATATTTAGAGCAAAAGCTCGCAGAACTATTAATTTTAGCAAAAGAAAATCTTGGGGAAAAATGTGTTAAACCTAAATTCTCATACCCCTATAAATAAAGTTTGGACCGCAATAAGATAAATAAAAGGAAAAGGTCCTGAAAACTATCAACATCCTAGTATTGTAGATCAAATTATTACTGAGGAAATGTTAAGGAACAAATATCAAATAAACTAACTAAAACAATTTTTAAAAAAAAAATCACAAGAAAAGAAAACATTAGATTTTACATCTGAAAACAAAGAATGTTATAATGAACCATTTACTTTTGAAGAGTTGCAAAAACCTTTAGATAAATCTCACGACACAGCTGTAGGACAGGATCATATCCATTATCAAATAATTAACATCTTCCTAGAGAGAGTAAAAAATGTCTTCTGCAAATTTTTAATACGATCTGGGAACGAGGTGATTTTCCACTTTCCTGGACTCCAGCAACAAGTATTCCTATTCCAAATCCTGGAAAGGACCATGCAGACCCTTATAATTATTATAATTATCGACCGATTGCATTAACAAGCTGCTTATGTAAAACTATGGAACGGATGATCAATTAATGAACTCTTAATATGGTTTCTTGAAAGCAATAACATTCTTTCAAATATACAATGTGGTTTCAGAAAGAAAAAAAAAACGAAGTACAACTGACCAGCTAGGAAGACAGGAAACCTAATTAGAGATGCTTGTGTTAAAAAAAAACATGCCGTATCTATATTTTTGACTTAGAAAAAGCATACGATACTACATGGAAATACGGTATTATAAAAGATCTCTACTTCATTGGTCATAAGGGAAATTTACCTAATTTTATTAGGAACCTTTGAAATGATAAAAATTTTACAGACCGCTTAGGATCTACAATTTCAGACAATTTTGAACAAGAAATGATTGATGACTTTGTTCTGTGTTTTAAGTCCAAAAATATGAATTTTATTGAGCGGCGGTTTAAATCATGTCTAAACAAAATTCAAAACTGGGCCGATATTAAAGGTTTTAAATTTTCTCAGAGTAAAACTGCGTGTGTGCAGTTTTCTACAAAAAAGTAAAAACCATGATGATTTAAATTTGCAATTAAACGGAAATCTAATAAAGGTAGTTAAAGAAATAAAGTTCTTAGGTGTCATCTTTGATAATAAACTCTCTTTTATTCCACATATAAAGATGCTCAAAGGTACTAGATATTATTAAAGTTATAGCAAACACAAAATAGGGAGCTGATAAAAATACTCAACTTAAAACGCTATTGCTCTATGATCAAATCTAAATTGGATTATGGGTGTATTGTGTATGGATCAGCTTCCTATAGAAAGGCTCTTGACGCAATCCACCATCATGGTCTTAGATTGTGCTTGGGGGCTTTTAGAACATCTCCTAAAGATAGTTTATTTGTAGAAGCAAATGAGCAACCTCTGGACTTAAGAAGAATTAAACTTAATTTACAGTACATAATTAAATTAAAAGCAAGCACCAAAAATCCTGCTCATGACTGTGTTTTTTATCCACCTTTATGATAAAAACAAAAAATGCAAAAAAACCACTTCCGATTTAAAAATCATATAAGAGACTCAGATCTACCGTTGGATATTGTGAAACCTACTACTCTTTCGGAAATACCACCATGGAAATTAATTAAATCAGTAATTAATAAATCCTTATCCGAACTAAAGAAATCAGAAAGAAATCTTCTCATTTTTCAACAGAAACTAGCTGAAATAAAATCTAAACATCCTACAATAGAAATTTGCACAGATGGTTCGAAGGATAGAGATAGGGTTGCTGCCGCTGCAGTGGTAAAAAATGTTTTTTCTACACGACTTACGAACGAAGCAACAATTTTTACGGCCGAAGCAAAAGCTATACAACTTGCTTTTGGATGTATGAAAACGTCTGGTGAAAAATCGTTTACAATATTTTCAGACTCTAGATCTCTTTCATGCTTACAGTCCATACACAATATGAATACAGATCACCCATACATTTTGGATGTACATGTATTAACTAAGTTTCATCATCTCACTCAACAAGGCAAAGAAGCAGAATTTTGTAGGATTCCGAGTCATATTGGTATTCCGGGTAATAACAAGGCCGATAGTTCTGCAAAAACTGCACTTCAATATGAAATTGTACCTTTTAAAATTCCAAATTCCTTACACCGATCTAAAAACTTTATGTAAATTCTCTTTTGAAAATATTTCGGGATTTATATGATAACAAATTGTATGCAATACAAAACAAAGTTAATAGTCATCTGATTTCAGCCTGAAACGCCAGGACGAAGTCTTTATTTCAAGAATATGTATTGGACATTCAAGGTCTTCGCATTCATATTTACTAAACGGAGAACATCAACCTGAATGTGTATCTTGCGATTGTGCAATAACTATACAACATATTCTCTTTGATTGATCTGATTTTTCGCCTTTACGAAGTAGACTTTTTGATAATATTAATGTGCAAACATGCAATGCATGATCTTTTTACAAATATTAATCCTTATGCAATAATACAATACTTGCAAGAAATTGGTTTTTATAATAAGATTTAATGTACATATTTTTATAAGCATTTTTCGTAATTTTCAATTAAACTGTTTTTATATATTTTTACATTTTAAATCCGTCGGATGGGACGTTAATTGGTGCCCCGTTTCAAGGATTGCAACCCCCTTGACACGCTAAAGATCGTGTCTCTGGTTTTGAAAGAGTAGGCTCATTGGGGGCCGCCAAAGAAACTCTTAAACCTTCAAAACCGTTTCTACAATATTTAAATTCATACCGCCGAAATGTGGCTGAAATATTGCCGACTTTGCGTTGAACAACAATAACCAATCAATCAATCTAAGGATTTTACACATCATATTCAAAAATAGAAGTGGGCAACTGCTGTGAACGCTATTTTCTTACGGCAATTAACCCTAGTAATTAGTCATTTTGAAGCGTTCCTTATTATAAAAACCATAGAAATGTACCAAATTAATGAAGTCAAATTTCCTGAATGGTCCTCCTTCATGTCGTATTCTTTCAGGATTTATCACATTCATATACTTAACTCATATTTAAACCAATTTCATCACATTTTGAAAACATTGAATTTTTAGGACACAATAAACCTCAATCCATACTTTCATCTTTTCTAGGAAACAGCCCTTATTGCCTTACGTCTAAGCTACAATTACTTAATAATTCAAAGTAATCATTACATGAAAGAATTTTTGAAACGTGAAATCAGTCCATTAATATGTTCTCATACAATTTTGCAGCTCAATTTTACATTTATTTAGATCAGTAATGTGATAGATGATCAATTTCTTTTATTAGTTTTTGTTCTCTTTTCTCTCAATATAGGCTGTATGAATTAAGCACAAGCATGTTTCAGAGAATTACGATGACATTACAGGACAAAAAACACGATGACACAGCGTTATATGACCGATTTCAACATCAATAAAAATTTGTGTAAACGTCGGCTATACATGGAATACAAAATGTTTTGTTTAGATGCAGGCATGTTTCCTGTTAGATTTCATTATAAAAAGGCATGTTTGGGTGAAGTGAAAGTAAACAAAGAGATCAGTCTACAGACAACGGTCTAAAACGGTCTACACCATGGGAGGCTATCCTTTTCTTGTTTTTCTCATTGCAAGTTGCATGGTTTTAACAACTGATGGTAAGGTTTGTTAATGCTTTCCTTAACGCATGTTTATCAAGAAATGTATTGGATGTAACGTTTCGAACGTTTTTTTATATGCAGATTCAATAAAGAGAATAAAGGTATGTATTTCTAAATATTTTTCGGCCCATACCGGTGCATAAGGGGCTAATGATCTACGTGTAGCAAATATGAAGATTTGTAAATTTCATTCAGCCCCTAGTGCTAAGTTCAAACCAAAGGAATACATATGGTCTACATATAGTATACTTTCTAATGTCAAGGCATTATATACCGTGTAACTGATAAAATGCTGATCATCACTGCTTAAGCTAAGATTCTGTACGCATTTCAGCTCGACTTCCGCCTAATTTACATTGCCCAAGAGGCACAGTGTTGGTAGGAACATGTTTTCCTCCCAGGTATTGGTGTAATGTTGGATTCTGTGTCAGAGGTCCCTTTAATTCCTTCGGGATATGCTGTAAAAAACGTAAGTATTTATTTATAAACTTTGCACTGCCTAGTAACAATTAATTTTAGTTAAATAGTCAGGAGAAAATCAGCATTATTACTCTAACAGAAAAAGGTATCTCTCTCTTTTTTTTCTCTCTCTATATAAGTATATATTTATTCATTTATTTTAGGTGGCTTTTACTGAAAACGGAGCTTCAAAGACCGAGGTTCATATGTCTTTGAAAGAATAAAAATCTTGTATAAAAGGTACTTCTATGTCTAAAATGATTCTATAAGTTAGTTTTTATGGGCAAAAATGCAACATTTTAGATCACATGCACAACAGGCAATATATTTTCCTTAATATCATGTGTTCTACGAAGCTGTCCTGCTAATTACCTATGCTAATTGAAAACTGTCATTCTACAGTTTGTGGGTGTATTTTATTTGTTAACACTATACATAGTAGAGTCAGGTTGACATTAAGCATGCGCACAAACACAATTCCTGTGCATTCAAACAGTAAGAAAACGAGTGCTTTATGTGTCACCTTTTTTGAAAAGATAAGTTTAAGTTTAGTGATGAAGATCATTTTGATGTTTGTTATAAGTCTTTAAATATTCGCAATATCCTTACCAAGGAAACGCTAATTTTTAGATTAAATTTAATCAAACATTCCGCTCAATTCCTTTTCCGCCATCTTTATTCTTGTGCACTCTTGTTAGAGTGGAGAGTGTGTTCTTGACCTCATTCTTCGACACTTGTGTTTTGCTCCGAGTTTTATTTATAAATCCGACTATCGAGTTCCAACTTGTGTTCAAATAAAATAAGCTCTCTAATCATTTCGAAGATTGACAGGATTTTATATATGGATATTTTTTTTGTAAAAGGCAATATGCAAACCAACTAACCTTCCGTTTTCTCTAAATCGGGGGTTATCACAGAATTAGAAAGATAACATAAACAATAATTATGGTTCAGCCGACAAGGCTTGTAAAAATATCGTCTTTGTTCGCAAGGCTCATTATAATAACTGTACTTTCGAAGAACTTGGTTTTAATTCTACTTTTTAAAATCCAACTTACACTAACAGTTCACTTTCAGTTAACATTCAAGTCAACCAAGGCGAGTTCAATTTACCCTACTTATATTGGATTCCTAAACTTCATAAAAATCCTTACAAACAGAGATACATTGCAGGGTCGTCGATCGCGTGACGCAGTGGTTAGAACGTCTGCTCTAGAGTCGCGGAGAAAGGAGCTGATCCTTTCCTCGCAGGTTCAAATCAACTGGGACATGGAGACCAGTCATTCGGATGAGAGGGTATAATCCGAGGTCCCGTGTCGCATTAGGTGTTGGCATGAAAAAGATCTCTCACTGCTCAATGGCCCTAAGTGCCGAGTAAAGGTATAAATTTGCAGCCCTCCACCGGGAAGTGGTGGCGTCTCCGTATTAGTAAAAAATTCTCGAGAGGGGCGTTAAACAACAAATAAACAAACATTGCAGGGTCAAGCAAATGCTCTACCGGACTTTTGTGAGAAGCGCTGACTTTAACAATCGACGGCTTACTTTTACACTAGGATAATATACGGAAGCTCTTTTGCTATATAAATATTAAGCTTTGCAATTAATTAAACGATAATAATGGGCCATTTCGAAGAACATATTGCGTTGTCTAGGAAGGGAACGGCAGCCACCCTACCCTCAACCCCCTCTCTTCCCACAATGACCAACTCTTGCTTAGCTTTCTTTCCGGAATGTTTTTTCTTCATTATTTGATTCATCCAGAAAATGAGATTGAAAGGAGAGGAGATACTACCCCTCACAAATAAGGTATTCTAAGTTATGTTATTCTGCCTCCCATCATCTCATGCGTTGATTGCATACCGGTAAATCATGTTAGTGCCCCTAACACCATACCTATAACCACTATTAATGTTTTCTTGTCTATTATCAATTCTCTACCTCCGTACATTAGGTAGGTTTAAATGTCAAAGTAAGCCGTCGACTGTAAAAGTCAGTGCTTCTCGCAAAAGTCCACTAAGTCCCTATCCTTACACCTTACAAAAATATTAATTGCTGTTTAGGAGAAACTTCAGACGTACTGTGCTACAGCATATTCTAGAAGTGGTGTAAATCTGATGTGGATTCTCAAAAACTCCGAACAACTTTTAGAAACCTTAAAATCGCCAGAAAATTTTCAAAACTCAGTAATATCAAAACGTACGACTTTATAAATTTTGTGCAATCATTCCTAACGTTAAATTAAAAACTAGGCTTTTTGTTATCATTTACAACTGCTTTTTCAATAAAATTGGAAGTCGGAAATTTTCATATCTTGTGATCAACAAAATTACTACAGACAATTCTACAGACAATTACTCTGAAGTAGATATTAAAAGGATGCTGGAGTTCCTCATTGACAACATTTATGTATTCTTCAGAGACCAGATCTTCCATCAAACTGTTGGAAATTCGATAGGCACTAATTGTGCTTCTTTATTAGCTGACCTGTTTTTACATTCCTGTGAAGCAGAATTTATTCAGAACCTTCTACATGTCTTTGAGAAAAAGAAAACATTTGCACTCGACATTTACATATATCGACGATGTATTATCAATAAAAAATGGTTACTTTCATTCATATGTCGATTCGATATATCCCAGTGAACTTGAAATAAAAAAAAAACTCCACAGAGTCAGCCACATCTGTTTCATATTTGGATGTTTTACTGACTATAAACGATAAGGGCCAACTAACAACTAAATTGTATGATAAACGAGATGACTAACTTTTCCGTCGTCAACTTTCTTTATTTATGTAGTAATATGGAATTTCATAGCTGCCTTATTTTGTTATTTATTTTACTTCATTATGTTATGCTGTGGTTATTTTATGTGAAGATGGTGGTTTTCTTATGTTATGCTGTGGTTATTTCATGAGAAGATGGTGTTTTTTAATGTTATGCTGTGGTTATTTCATATGAAGGTGGGCTTTTTTTATGTTATGCTGTGGTTATTGCATGTGAATGTGTGTTTTTTTTTAATGTTATGCTGATGTTATTTCATGTGAAGGTGGTTTTTCATGTGAAGATGGTTTTTATGTGAAGGTGTTTTTTTAAAAAAAACAGCTGCTACCTATGGAACGCCATAGCTGCTTATATGGAACGTCATAGCTGCCTCGTGTGGTTATTTCATGAGAATATGGTGTGTTTTTTATGTTACGCTGTGGTTATTTCATGTAAATGTGGTGCTTTTTTATGTGATGCTGTGGTTATTTCATGTGAATGTGGTTTTTAGCCCTACTGGTCAGAGACCAGAAGAGCTTATGCGATGGTAAGGTGTCCGTCGTCCGTCTGTCTGTCTGTAAACAATTTCTTAAAATGCTACTCCTCTTACAGTTTTGGTCTGATTTCAATATAACTTGGCACACAAGTAGACTACACTAAGATACATAATTCTGTTTATCAGTTTTTGATTGCGATGAACGGTGTTGCCATGGTTACTAAAAATAGAAATTTCTGTGAAATACATTCAAAATGCTACTCCTCCTACAGTTTTGGTCTGATTTCAATATAACTTGGCACACAAGTAGACTACACTAAGATACATTATTTTTTGTATCGGTTTTTGATTTCGTTAGACGTTGTTGCTATGGTTACAAAAAATAGAAAATCCTGTGAAATATATTCAAAATGCTACTCCTCCTACAGTTTTGGTCTGATTTCAATATAACTTGGCACACAAGTAGATTACACTACACTAAGGTACATAATTCTGCATATCGGTTTTTGATTTCGGTGAACGGTGTTGCCATGGTTTCTAAAAATAAAAAATTCTGTGAAATACATTCAAAATGCTACTCCTCTTACAGTTTTGGTCTGATTTCAATATAACTTGGCACACAAGTAGATTACGCTGAGATACATAATTCTGTATATCATTGTTTTGATTTTGGTGAACTGTTGCCATGGTTACAAAAAAATTGAATTTCTTTGACATACTTTCAAAACATTACTTTGCCTACAGTTTGGTCTGATTTTAATATAACATGCAAGTAGACTACACTGAGATACATAATTGACTTAATTGTTTTTTTTTATTTTGATGAATAATATTGCCATGGTAGCTAAAATCGAAATTTCTCTAAAATTCTTTTTAATAGCTACTCCTTCTACAGTTTTAGTCTGATTGCAATTCATCTTGCCACAAAAAGAGAGTTAAACAAGGATTACTATTTATTTATTGCTGTTGCAAAGTTTCAAGTCCAAGTGCTACTTTTCTCTTCCTTAATTGTTATACGTACAAACCAGTAGAGCTACAGTCTCGACAGCGACTTCTGATTTTTGTGATGCTGTGGTTATTCCATGTGAAGGTGGTGCTTTTTATGTTATTTCATGTGAAGGTGGTTTTTCATGTGAAGATTTTTTTTTTTAGGTGAAGGTGTTTTTTTAATATTTTCTGTGAAGGTGGTCACTCGGAACTCCTCCTATTTTTCAAGACCGAGTTTAACAGTTATTATCTCGAATTTTTGGAAGTAAAACAAAAAGTCGATGTAATTCTAATACTCCATTGTTGGTTCCTCTTTTTTTCCATAGGCGCTTGGTTTCAGAATGGTGTATTTTGTGTATTATGTTTTTTTCTAGGTGTATCTGAATACACTCGATACCATAAAAAAAATCACTGAAATTAGCACGTTTTAAAAATGTCATATTACTGTACATGTATATAAGAGTGAAGGTACGACAGTTGCCATCTTCAAAAATCTAGCGGGGTCAGAAACCGCGCAAACTTGTTCCCTGTAGACTTTCCGCGTTATTCCGGAACGCCTCTACATTTTACATAGTTAAAGATCGTCACTTCCATTGCTTGTTTGTTTGTTTATTGTTGTTTAACGTCTCTCTCGAGAATTTTTCACTCATGGGGACGCCACTACTTGCCAGTGGAGAGCTGCAAATTTTGACCTTTACTCGGTACTTAGGGCCATTGAGCAGTGAGGGCTCTTTTTCGTGCTAACACCTACTGTGACACTGGACCTCAGATTATACCCTCTCATCCGAAGGACTGGTCTCCATGTCCCAGTTGATTTGAACCCGCGACCTATACTCGGCACTCACAGAGTTTACGAAAACCAAATATTTCTATCAGTCATTCGGACTGATGACGTGGTGTACTTTACAAGTCCGAAGCAAATTCTATCAGTCCGAATATTGCAATGCAGGTTTTCACAGTACCTACATGTAACTATTGTTCAATGTTGTATATGTACA